CTCTTAACACACAGGGTTGAGTCGTGGTATTCAAGGGGTTAAGTCTTTATAATCAGGGAGTCATGTTGGTCAAGGGGTTAACATCATATTCAACGGGTTAAGTCATCGTACTCAAGGGGTTAAGTCATTGTACTGAGGGGGTAGGGGTTAAGTCATTGTACTGAGAAGGTTAAGTCATCGTATTCAAGGGGTTAAGTCATTTTACTGAGGGGGGTTAAGTCATCGTACTGAGGGGGTTAAGTCATCGTACTCAAGAAGTTAAGTCATCGTACTCAAGGGGTTAAGTCATTGTAGACATATTCCTGTTTATTTAGCTGTAATGAAAATTGAACATCTTTGTCACTCTAAACCCTTGACATAACTTAAACCTTTCCTTATCACGTGCATCTGTGTCGCATAACAAGGGAGTAACCAGAAAATATATTGAGTAAAAGCTGTAAAATTAGTAACCATAAAGGAATATGTAGGAGAGAGGACCGGTGGTATAGTGTCAAGTTTGGGTACCAGGATGTTGGTGGTGGTGGGTAGACGTTAACCACGATGACGACTGACTGACTGCTAAAGGTGGCCGGCCAGAGCGAGGAGAAGGCGATGCTGGGTACATTCTTTTGTTTATAAACCTAGTACTTCTCTGTTCCTTCGTCCTGACACTCGTTTATTCGTTTATTCATTAAGTTTTATGCAGAAGAATGTTAGTGTGTGGATGTGAGAGTTGGAGAGTGTTTGTGTGTGGATGTGAGAGTTGGAGAGTGTTTGTGTGTGGATGTGAGAGTTGGAGAGTGTTAGTGTGTAGACGTGAGAGTTGGAGAGTGTTTGTGTTTGGATGTGAGAGTTGGAGAGTGTTTGTGTGTGGATGTGAGAGTTGGAGAGTGTTAGTGTGTAGACGTGAGAGTTGGAGAGTGTTAGTGTGTAGACGTGAGTGTTGGAGAGTGTTTGTGTGTGGATGTGAGAGTTGGCGAGTGTTAGTGTGTAGACGTGAGTGTTGGAGAGTGTTTGTGTGTGGATGTGAGAGTTGGAGAGTGTTTGTGTGTGGATGTGAGAGTTGGAGAGTGTTTGTGTTTGGATGTGAGAGTTGGAGAGTGTTTGTGTGTGAACATGAGTGTTGGAGAGTGTTTGTGTGTTTACATGTCAACATATGTGCGTGTCCGTCCATGTGAGGAAGTGGAAAAATCATCACTAGGTATTCCTCATCATGTTGAGTCTTCCCTCACTGGGGAATAAAAGACTCAGGTGGTGCCACTAGTAGAAGACGCCTGTTAAAACGGCCTCTGTTTGTCTGTTAAACGAGTAGAGGGAATGTCACACTACGCGTTGTCTTCACCCTCAGTGCAGATGTGTGAAGGAGGGAACAGGAGAGCATTGTAGTGTGGAGGGTCATAGTGTTCTCAGAATGGGAAGCTCTTCTTTGGCGTGTTGCAACGTGTTTGGTGGGTGTCAAGTGTCAATGGTTTTTGTTTTGTTTCGCTGTCAGCTGATTGTCTCGTTATCGCACCTCGCCCATTACTGTATTCACTCTGTCTTGTGCGTTTTGTTATCTCTCTCTCTCTCTCTCTCTCTCTCTCTGTTTCTTTTCAGACTGTTTTTAAATTTATATATTTGAATTTACATCTTTAAACCTAATCTAAGAAGAATTCATAGGCTACCCTGTGTGTGTGTGTGTGTGTGTGTGTGTGTGTGTGTGTGTGTGTGTGTGTCACCCCCGTTTCCCAGTATGAGTGTAGGTTTCCTCGTGAAGACTTTGGGGGTGGGTCCGGTTACCTATCAACAAGACGTGCCATGACCCGGCCAGTGAAAGTGGTGAGATAGGGTGTGTTAGGAAGACCTGGCGGAGGTGGGAAGGGTGGAGTGGTATAGCTCCAGATGTGGTAATAGAATGGGTGGAGGTGGAGAGATGGTGGTTGTGGTGATGGTGGAAGTGGTGGTTATCGTGATGGTGGTAGTGGTGGTAAGGGAAGCTGCCAGCAAGATAATATTTAATTCAACAACCGGTTTTTTTTTTTATCAACTTCTATTTCTTTTCACTTACGACAGCAGCTTGGTGTTGGTAAAACTATTCTCTTTAGTGATGGTAAATTACGTTTACCAAAAAAACATCCACTTATTATTTTAGTGTCCATTCCATCCAAGTAGTAGACGACGTTATATTTTTCTCAGTTCCTGCACCAGTATATGTTTATAGATATATTTAGCCCCCATCTTGACCCGAGTGATGAAGACATGCCACACCACCTCGAGGGTCGTCTGGTATTCTTAAAGATAACATGGATGTGACAGCTGCAATTGGGGGGGATTGTCTTACGTGATGTAATGTTTATATATATCACGCCATGGAGTCACTAGGCCAGTGTTGTGTTATGGGGACTTTTAGATAGAGGTTGGACTAAAACAAAAGAATAAAGACCCACAGTAGACCTTTTACCAGAGAGAGAGAGAGAGAGAGAGAGAGAGAGAGAGAGAGAGAGAGAGAGAGAGAGAGATTATGCAAGGTAGTAAGACTTTATTACACACCTTCCCATGTAGACGTTCAATGCAACCCGTTGTTTCAGCCTCATGTTCGACCTCCCTCCCCCTCTCCCGAATACTTGTGACACGCCTTCCCGGATCTTACCACACGCCCTCCTTCATCTAACGCTACACGCCCTCCTTAATCTACACTACACGCCCTCCTTAATCTACACTACACGCCCTCCTTAATCTACACTACACGCCCTCCTTAATCTACACTACACGCCCTCCTTAATCTACACTACACGCCCTCCTTAATCTACACGCCCTCCTTAATCTACACGCCCTCCTTAATCTACACGCCCTCCTTAATCTACACTACAAGCCCTCCTTAATCTACACGCCCTCCTTAATCTACACGCCCTCCTTAATCTACACTACAAACCCTCCACCCAAACACTTAGCTTGCTGCACTCACTCCCGGACCTGCACTACACACACACACGACCTCCCGGACCCACCACGACAGGTCAAGTGGATCTGATGGAGGGGAGGCGCCCAACATACCCTCTCTGTCTGTTTACATCCGAGGTTGTGTTTACATGATCAGCTGACTTATCGATCAGCTGTTTATCGCGTGTGCATTAAATAATTGTTCTGATTTGTAAAAGTATTGTCGATTTGTGATTGTTTGTTATCTTGTTTTCATTGATTTGTTAATGTTCTTTGTTTAATTGATATTATCTTGGGTGTTTATTGATTTTGGCGATGAATGAAGCAGTAAACATCTTGCCATTTTGCATCATCTCTGTTAAGCCTGTATAGTAATAAGAGTACATAGAACAATTTATACAGCAGAAGAACAAAAGTGAACAGGCTAACGTAAGGATAACAGAAGAACGAGTAAACGGAATAACTTCACATTAACAACAGAACAACACAAGTGAACCAAAAAAATATAACTGGAGGAGAATAAGTGTGAACATGAACAATTTAAGGCTAAATGGCTAACAGCAAAACAACTAAGAACAAAGCTGTCAGTGATAAAAAAAACAGCACACGCATCTTAACACCAGTAACAGCAGTGGGGGGGAAGGAGGGTTTTAACTCTGTCTGGCAAGGTTATGTTTTTGCGCTCACCCATCACACTGTGTTTGTTGGTGAGGGAGAGACGAGGACCAGACTACTTACTCCTCCTTTGATTCCCCTTTTATTCCCATACGACTATTACCTTTTCCTTTCTCCTCCTCCTTCGTTTCCTTCTTTCCATGCTATTACCATCCTCCTCTTCCTTTCTTTTCCTATTCTTTTTTTTCCATGCTATTATCATCTTTCTCCTTCTTTTCTTTCTCGTCTTTCTTCCTTTTTTCTTCTTTCTTCATCATCGTCGTATTTATTTAATCTTCTTACTCCTCATCGTTATCTTTCTCTTACTATTCGTCTCCTTTCTTCATCCTCGTCTTCTCTCTCTCTCTCTCTCTCTCTCTCTCTCTCTCTCTCTCTCTCTCTCTCTCTCAGTTACGCCTTTATGGTCATGAACACCAAAGAAAAAATATATATTGATTCCGAACCTGAGATGTATTTCCAGTCAAGGACGTCAAGTTACTGGGTGGTGGGTGACTGGTGGTGGATGGCTGGTGGTAGTGGATGATGACTGGTGGTAGTGGATGATGACTGGTGATGGTGGATGATGGCTGGTGGTAGTGGATGATGGCTGGTGGTAGTGGATGATGGCTGGTGGTAGTGGATGATGACTGGTGGTAGTGGATGATGACTGGTGATGGTGGATGATGGCTGGTGGTAGTGGATGATGATTGGTGATGGTGGATGATGGCTGGTGATGATGGATAGCGACTGATGGTGGTGGATAACCGGTGATGGTTGTGGATGATGACTAGTGGTGGTGGTTGATAACAGGTGATGGTGGTGGATGACTGGTGTTGGTGGATAAAAACGGGTGATGGATGATAATTGGTGGTAGATGAACGAATGATTTAATGGGGGAGAATAGATGATTTAGCAGAGTGGATGAAGCAGATATTAAGAATGGATTAGTGTGGATGTGTTGGATATACACTGTATAGCGCTGACGGTGTTGTAGACTTGGTGGTGGTGTTGTAGGGCCGACTCACGTACTTCACTGGTGGCAGGCTGATCAGTTTATAGTTATTAAGTATTGCAGTTGTTCTTTATTGATAAAAAGTTAGAATACACCTTTTGCACTGTTTCTGTTGGCAATATAAGTTGTATTGACTAACGTATCATGTTGCAGAATGTGTTGATGATAAACACTGATATTGGTACTGTATTACTGTATTCAGGAACTGTATTTTGATAGAAACATTGGATTGACGAGTATTGTACATGTTGGATTTGTATATTTACAATTATTAGTTTCTGGGTCTGTATGTCGTCTGTATGTTGCCAAGCCTCTCTATGTTGACAATGGCTCACGTGGGTCTCTGTTGCTTGTGTTGCAGGTCTTATGTGTTAATGATAAACAAAATCGAATGGTATCTTTAACAATACATTAACTGGTGTTTCTTTCCTTGCAGGACCTATCACAAGGACTCGTACATGGCCCATCGTAGGGACTGGAAGACAGGATTCGAGGGGCGTTACCGTAGGACCATCTCCCCTTCAGCCTCCAACCGCAACCTCCTCTACACCCGCGACGACAACACCAACAACAACACCACCAGTAACTCCCTCTCATCCTCCACCATCACCACCACCACAGCCACAACCACCACCAGCCCCGGCCCACAGCAACCAGAGGTGGAGCGAAGGGGTTCTGTCACCACCACTACCACTGCCACCACCACAACTATCACCTCCTCTTCGCCTCCTCCAGCAGGTATACTCCGCTCCCTCCCCTCCACCTCCTCCCTCGTCCAGAACAACAACAACAAGAACAACACTGACACCGACAACAATGTTAATAATAATGGTAAGCCAATTTGAACCTAATCCTCCCGCCTTTTATAGACTTTGATAACAGGATAAAAAATAAGATTAATTTTCACACATACGATACCGGAGGAAAAAGATAAGAGTATATAAGAATAACCGAGCCATCAGATATGCGCAATTGATCACACAATCCAGTCAATTTGTTTACTTTTCATGGTAAGAGAGGATAAGAAGGAATATTTTAAAGAGTCTGTGAGAAGGGGGGGGGGGGCACAGAAACGTAATAATATAATGAGACCCGGAAATAATTTTACATTTTTTGTGTCATGAAAATAAACTTCTGTTCGGTAATTTTTAACTGAGGGATTTAAAGAGCTGTAAACTGATAACCAACTTCCTGAAGACGATGACTTAATCCTTCCAATATGATGACTATTCATAGTATTCAAAAGGGTTAGTATTAATCGTCCTCAAGTGGTTAAGTCATCATTCCCTAGTGGGTCAGACGTTTTAATTTACCTGAATGGTATAAAAAAGACGATTGAGCTTGAGAAATCCACGTTAATCCCTTGTCGCTTGAGAAGATCCACGCCTCCTTCAGACGACCCACGCCTCCTTCAGACGACCCACACCTCCTTCAGACAACCCACGCCTCCTTCAGACAGGTTCTCAGTGAGAACTTTTCACTATGTCAGCACCAGCGGTACATCTCTCTCGTAGGAACCTAACCAGATCAACGTCGGTGTATAGTGACTGTTGGCCGACTGGTGTGTATGAGAAGTGTAGACTGACTGTTAGAGAGACTGTTGACTGACTCCCATGACCAGTCCAAACACAGTCAGCCCTACTTTAGCTCAGGTAGTAGTCAGACAAGGTGTGGGAGATTTTTAACTCTTGCTAAAAAACTTACCTACCTCGGCCACCGCTGCTTTAACGGGTTTACGATAGATCTTTGATTACCTGGTGAAAAAAATGCAGTTTAGTGATCGTGATATAAGCTTTTGGAGGGCTTTTGCATGGTGTTCACAAGCACAGTAAAACTACAAGTGAATGGACACATGTTGCTTGTTGAATGAGTTGTATTGTTCAGGGAATTATGATCGTGAAGGCTTGTGGTGGTGAATGGTGATGGAGGGTTTCAGTTATATCTTAATTCTGTAGTAGACATGAAGTGGTGATGATGTGGTCAAGTTTAACACATTTATAGTCATGTAGGAGATACCACCAACCTCAATATTTTTTTAAGTGAAAAGATCTTGTTGGAAAGCGCTGCTGATGTGAAAACAAGTTGGTCAGGCTCATGTTTATTTACCTTCGGTTAAAAAAACAAACACAGTGATGAATTCGATTAAACATAGGGAGTGAGAGTAATAATGGAGTGAGGGAGAAAAGTGGTGATGTATTATAACATGAAGGAGTAAGTAGGCGAGACACTTCAAGGTCGCCTTAAACAGTGGGAGAGGGGGACGTGTGCGGTCTCAGCCATTACGTCAGTGGTCACTCTCACGCTACACAAGGTCTCCCCTCCACCACCAGCTGCGGGGAAAATGTTCACCCATAATATTCCTTCAATGTTTCCTTATTATTGTTTACTTATGTTCCTGAGTGTGTAGCCAAGGAACCGGAAATTAATTTTAGTCATTGGTGATAGTTGGAAGTTTTTAGTACGTAACAGTTTTCATCATGTTGGTGTATGGTTACTTTAAATATTGTTCGTAAACTGACAGATGCACTAAGTGAATGAGGTATATTTTGTTTAAACTACGTTAATAACGCAGCGTCCTCCTGCTTTATGGCCGAACCAGTAGACATTGTGGAGGGACACAGTCAATGTTGCCAAATTACCATCAATAGAGTAAAATAGGCAACTTAAGGTTAAATAGCCTAAACTACCCTCCCCTAGGGTCATATAGCGGGAAGGTGAACAAGTTGATCGCACACGTGGTAAAGGGAATCACTGGAATCTCAGTTGCCAACCTTTTATAGGATGTACCTCCTCATAAACATAATTCTGGTAAGACGGCAGCCGAGCATTGCCAGATTAAGGACCACTTAGCAGGATTCAGTTGTTGTGATAGTGTTTTTGTGCTGTATAATCCTGTCTTGAAAAAGGACAGTCATTATTTGGACGAGTTGAGTAGAGTGACATCTTTAGGCGTGTTGTAGTACATTTGTAATATTATTTAGTCAATGATATTAGTTGCTTGGTTATAATAGTCTTTAATTTCAGGTTGGACGGGTCATACACGTAGTACATCCACCACTGTCAACTTCACTGCCGAGGAGCTGAGAGCGTTTAAGGCTCGACGGGCACACGTCCACCCCCATGACACGGCCGGTCATGTCTCTGATAAAGAGAACACTCCTCGCCAGCTGCATCCCTCACAGTCCTCTCCAGCGTTATCATCCACAGCTCTACATTCTATGGCGAGTGATGGTTCCACGACGTCTCTGGCGAGTGGCGGCACTGGGTCGTCTCTGGGGTCAGGTCGTAGTGGCTCTCCCGCCTCCCCGAGCAAGCTGAGTCCTGCACATTCCTGGCGTACATCCCTTGACTCCCTCCACCGACCAAGCCCCTCAGCAGCATCATATACCGGCATTGCCTCAACGCACTCCCCGCGAACCATCACCCGCACCACCAGCCTGGCTGATCCTCTTCACAGTGCAGAAGAGGTCATGTCTAGTAGTGTGTCGCAGGAGGCGCTTCATCTCCCTCGCACTGCCAGTATCAATGAATCGCTCTCTCGCATTACTGCAATCAGCGACTCTCTCAGTCGGTCTACCAGTGTGGCAGACTCCCTCTCCCGCTCTTCCACCATCACGGAGACCCCAATCAGCACGTACTGCCGCGCTAACAGTGTCACTGAGGCGCCCACCTACCACTCTAGTCCCGCTGTCGTGCCCAACACCACCCAGGCACCAGCCTCGCCAACTTCTCCAGTGCCTCACGACGGCCCCGTCACCGCTCACCCCGCTACTGTCACTGAGGAGACATATGCGTCAGTAGCCTCAGACTCTCCAAAGTCTTCGCTCACTCCTAAGTCTCCATCTCCACCTTCACCAAAGTCTCCTCTATCTACTAAGTCCCTGTCGCCCAAATCGCCTCTCTCACCAAAGTCTCCACTATCTCCTAAAGCTCCACTCTCCCCGGCGCTTCCACTCTCACCAGTCACAGATAAAATGGTCGCCTTCACCAGCAGCACCGCCACGACAGTGTCCTCGACTGTGACAACCACCACCACCTCCTCCTTCCCCATCACCTCGCCCTCCATGTCGCCACCCACACACCCCGTCGACCGTCACAACATTGTGGTGCTGGGCTACGGTCGCACGCCCTACCAGGAGGAGCTCGACTGTGATCGGTTATCGAAGGACTATGTGCCGCACTTCTCCCTGGACACCAAGCTGCAGGCCCTACTAGGTAAGTACTCCGCCCGTGTCATCCTAGGATTATGCGCCACCGTAGCCTATGAGGGACACACACACACACACACACACACACACACACACACACCCCAATGTAATCTAATCTAATGTCTTGTAACAATGCATTTTTCATTATCCGTTTTCGTCTCTTATAACAATCGCAATAGTAATATTTATATAGTGCAAATACAAATATAGAGAGGACCTTAATATTCATATAGGAGTCAAAAAATAAGTCTTGTCAGAATTCAACAACGGGATTAAGATATATTTGTGGTTACATTAACACTACTCATCTCTGTACATAGTATACTCTGTACACCTATATTGGATATATTTTTCAATTATGCAAAATCACCTTCTGTATGTACAGTACAGTGCATAATGCTTTCAATCTTGCGTTGTCTTGTCACGAGTCGATCAGTTTGCGCAATGCATATCAGTCACATTATTCAACACTCGATAAGATTTTTTGCAGATATTATAATGTATTTACCATTGACAGCAGTTCACCTGAAGCGCCGGGCCAGGCGAGGTTCATAGAAAGTGGGAAATGCCCGTTTTGGTGTTACGTTGAAGTAGAAAACGTAACCAACCAGCCTCCACCTCACCTGGCTGACTTAAATATTTTATATTCTCCTCGGATATGCTTATAAACTACAACTTCGAAATTAAGGATTGAATTTTTACTATTTATTGATAGTTTTAATAAAGTAATATTTTATTTTTAGTAAGAGTTTAAAGAATACCACTTACAAGCATATATATATATATATATATATATATATATATATATATATATATATATATATATATATATATATATATATATATATATATATATATATATATATATATATATATATATATATATATATATATATATATATATATATATATATATATCTTTTAGCTTGTCTTGAATAAGACGAAAGCTAAGGTGTCTGCTTGTTTCTTTCGTGATTTTAATGATTTATCTTATCTCTACATGAATATATATATATATATATATATATATATATATATATATATATATATATATATATATATATATATATATATATATATATAAGTACTGTAGATGTAGAAATTTAAATGGGATTTTTTTGTTTTATATATGAAGACTCGCCATGGTAAAGGTTTTTATATAAAATCGTTAGGATATATTATCGTGTACAATGTGATAACTGAACTGACGTACCAGAATAGCTTAGTATTTTTATATATCAAGTGGCGTGAGGGTGAGGCTTCAGTGAGTCAAAGCTGACCAATTATTTGTAACCACATCGATTAAACATGTGGAAACCTCGTGTGTGTGTGTGTGTGTGTGTGTGTGTGTGTGTGTGTGTGTGTGTGTGTGTGTGTGTAAATAATAATAATATTAATAATAATTAACGGTTTATTGAAAAATTTAAGCAACCCGAAGGCTGAAAGTATACATTGGACAGAAATACCTTATTATATGCAAAGACAAGGGGGTAGTTGGGTCGTTTAACAAAAGCTTTCATTACTAAAAGGAGAAGGAACATGAATTGAGCATAGAAATTATAGTTTACAGTGTGAGGTCACCCTATGATATTGTAATTATTTGACTATTACAGTACATTGTTTTTAGATATGAGATCAGTTGCTATGATTAAAGTGTATTTTTGTAAACATACCAAGAGTTTTTGGAAATATGGATCGATATTTTAATCTAATTTATAGCATTCGTCACCAAATAACCAGGACGGAGCTGTTCTCAAATCTTGCGTGTTATAAACTGCCGTCATGAAATGGTTATAAGGGCGACAGCTGAACCATGTTATTGATATCGTTCGCGACACAGTGTTATGATGTAGCTAGAAGCCATGACACATACTGTGTACAGTATATAATGCAACCTGTTTGGAAATAAATTCCCTCACGTAGAAAACCATCGTTGGTCCATCGAGTCAGGTTAGAGGGACATGATGCCGACTTTTACCACCAAGAAACAAAATTGTAAGATAGTGGCAATCACTACTGTACTTTCAAACAATCGTGGAGCGCAAGTAAAGAGTTCACAATTATCAAAATATACCGGCAGTGTACTCTAATTTACATAATATGATTTGTGTCAGTGATAACGGACACACGTGATTGCTAAACTGTACATTTCGTCACGCAAGATTTCGACTACATGAGTCAGGCTTGTGAATACCAATCGCCAGGTGTAGTGTCCGCTAGGCTTCCAAACTCGCTACGAAAATAACGAACCTGAATTTCTTATTAATAATGTTTAAAAAAATATTGAATATTCTCATCCACACATACAAACAGTCACTTGGGCGTTAGGTGTGAGATATGTCTTCCCTTTCGGCAGGAATTAAGTCCATGTAAATTTTTGAGGTGTTTAAATATGAATAATAGTACTAAATGGAAATTAAGGCTCAGTTTTTTCCAGCAAGAGTTCGGTGGTTGGGACCTGACTATTTTCACCATCACCATTAGGCTATTTTGTTGACCTTGGGGAGTCAGGTCACACCAGCCGCTCAGCCCAGCCACCCACCTCACACGTGAAGCAGTTGTCACAAGAGAACCTTCACTAATTATGTTATCTGTTGAAAAATGCCTACCCACCTTAAGCGTAAAAGCTATACAGTATTTAATGGTATATTCCATTTGTTTCTTTGGGGTTGAAATATGAACTCGTTATGGGTGGTTGTCTGAACGTTTATTAGATGCCCCTCAGACGTTACCAGGGGTCATTACTTCACGTGTTACTGTTCAGGAGACACGGCTGAAACGAGAGAAAGTTTGTCGTTGTCCCAGAAGTTATCCCAGTGTCAAATACACTAGAGTAGCTGACAACGAAGTTGTATTGCTTTCATTTTAACAGTTAGCGAACATCCTTGCATCTTCACTGAAAAGAGGAATAGATGTAGTACGAACCTTTGTGAAACGCCGCTGTGGTCTCTAGTCGCCGGTAATACGCATTTTTCTTCTTAAATTCATTCTGTCTCCCATAAGACATGCTTTCCCACACACTACCAGAGAGGGTAGTATTGACGGTGGGTTAGTGTAACCCCGGCGGTGTATGGTAATGTGGCGAGCAAACACCCCGCTACCTCCCTCACTCTCCCCTGTGGTATGCTGGCCATCTTTCTAATCTGTGGATCTCGCGCGGGACCTGCGGTGTGTTCCTCACTGCTACCACCTGGCTGACTCACCCGGCTGTGAGTAAACCCTCTAAATTATCGACAGTAAGATTCTGCACAGTTTTCAGCTGATATAAGACGGTTCTAAATCATTGGATAGTCATAACAAATCTCTCATAGTTGACTACACAATGTAAAATTTGCCATTAGTGTGGTTTAAAACCATAGATAGCCATTTGAGTTTTGGACTTCTGTACAAGTAATCACTGTAATGCTATTATAAACCAAGGATAACTACAATATTAGAGAGGCTCCAGTCCATGTAGGTGATATGATTGTACATTATTTTTCATGGGAGTATCAGGCAGTGATGTTTTGTTGAAGCCCAGTAACTGTCAGGTTAAAGTTGTCATGGTTGTACACAAATAATTATTATTTTTATTACGACCAATATTTTGCTTCCGTGCTCTCTGTGTGGAGTGTATACAATATATTGTACTGTATAGTGTTTTGTACTCCAAGCTTGGGGAATTTCAAGGCTCCAACTACGGTTAATCCCTATTCGAAGACGAATGTTATAGTTCATACACTTGATTTTTGACGGATGTTAAAGAAACTGCTGTGTAACGCTTTCAGTTAACGGGATTCGCCGGAGAGAGGAATCCATTTAAGCCGGTATTGTTCCGTTTTCGGCCTGGGGAAATGGCTATGTTTTCTGGAATATTTTGTCTCGGATTACTAGTGTCGTATCGGCAACTATAAGCTAGTTGTATGATTGAGCTATAAAACCATGTACATACGTACACGGTTTCTGCTATATCATTAAATCTCAGGCTAACAGCACGCGTGGTGTCACTCCACCTGAAAACTATAGGGTGCTTAATTTTGATGGGTGATACAGCCTTTGGTACAGTGGTGAGGCCGTTACCCTCATTGGTTATTTATGTAGTGTTAACGTAAGTTAAACACACTATTAAAAGGTGTTAGAACGGGAAAGATACGTGTTGTGTGGGTGAGCGAGCGAGCGCAGGTGGGGTGAGGGTTGGATGAGTGTGCCGCATCACTCAATGGCTGGCTGTGTTCAGGAACAGGTCGTCCTGCTTCCTCACTGGTCCCTACCATCCCTCTGGGATGACCAACCCCCAACTGCCCCAAGGATATTCCTTCCTGTCGAATGTGGCTCCTGGAACACAAAAGAAGAATTACTTAAACAAAGGTAATTAATTTTATTTTCCTGACCACCATTTTTGATATGGCAAGATTGTCTGACATCATTTGTGTTAATGAGTTTAGTGTCATGTAATAATAGAAAATGATCATAATTTGCCAGGTTTGAGCTTCGAAAAACGGAGGAACCATGTTTATCCTTCCATGTTATAATAATTTTGTAAAGTGTTTACTGTCTCGAGGGTGATATTTTATTAATATGATTGATTAAGTTTTCACAAAGATTTGTGCGTCTTATAGACAAATAGTAGTATATAGTTTTTAGACCTCGAGACTGCTACTCTTTTCAAAGTAAGAGTAACATGTTCGCATCATTGTGAAAACACTCGTGGTTACCTGTGGAAGTTGAAGTAATTACCCAACCTTTGTGAAAAATCTCTTATTGTGTATTAAAATCTTGCACATATTTTCACCGTCCGTGATGAGGTTAGTTGTTAGTTAGGGCTGGTAAAACTGGCTTAGCAATATAAACATTACGTAAAGTTTTCATCGACTTGTTTATACCGAGATAACATTATTTCGCGACACTCAGGGTATTTATGATAGTGAATTCTAACGCAGAATAAAAATATTTACATGCTCATTATAGATGTTGCGAACTGTAGTGTCCACCAACCTTGTGATACATGAAACTTCCGGCCTTTCGTGGACGTGTAGCAGCAGCGGACATAACATGTAGATCCGGGTCATGATATACGTTGTCTTTCGTTTAGAATTTAGATGCTTATCTGTTTGACGAAAATCAGAAAACTTCTTTACCCACACAAGGTTACATTTCTTCGTACATCTTTAGTGATAAGCTAAACCGGAAGACTGGGGTCGGTCAATATTTGTCTTTCTTTGTTCGATTCGTTACAGTGGATGTTGTATTTGCTAACAAAGCGAGAGATGTTCCCCAGGACGGAAACCACAACAACAGCAGTATGTAATGCAGGTCTTTGTACTTGGTATTATGTATAGAATTAATCGTTTGTCACTTGAGGTGGAAATGCTTGTGTATAAATGTAACGTGAACGTATCAGTATGAAGTTAAGTTATCGAGTTGCCTAACATAAAAATACTTTGCCGTGTCAAGTTCAGTCGAGTTCATTATAGCAATACGATATTTGTTCGCGACTCGGTGGAGTTGGGCACACAGATATTGGTGCAGAGAGCAGTATTGTTGCCCCGCTGAGAATTCCTCGCACATACAGTAGGTGTAACGAATAACCTGATATACGTTACAGTTCATATAACCTAAAAGTACTGTATTCTTTAATAGTTGAGGCCAAGGCTGTACTTTACAACCTGAGAATATTTTAGTTCGAGGTTATTATATCCCGGTAATTGCGTGAGCTTGCCATCTCTTGTATTCCTTTGTGTGTGTAAACATTATTTACAGTTAAACTAGAGGCGGGGAAACAATATTTTGACAATGATTACTGAACATGGGTGACGAACCATGAAATACCACCTGGTCAGTTTGATGAAATTAAAAAAAATATAATGTTTGCAAATCTACCTGCTGCTGATTACATTTGCCTGTGAACTATCTTTTGTACTGTCCAAGAAGAGATGCTCTTTTTCATTCTCCCCCACACTGAACATAATAAGAGATACTTCCCCTGTGTAACGCGTCAGGGAACCTCCCCAGATCTTTGTTGTGGCTGTGACTCGCTGCGAGCTGCCTACCACCCCATCCCCTACTCCTCACCTATTCATATTCTTGCTGTTGGACTCCGGTGTGGACCTTACCTTCCAACATTTAATTTATTTATTTGAAGCCAGATTGATTCATAGTTCATATGCAAAAAAATACAATAGGGTGTAGGCTATTGCGCTGACATTAATTTTAGATTTGGAGTCCCGGTAAACTTCTTTTACTCATGCGCCTGTATAACCCCGTTCTCTTCTGACAAAACTTCATACTGCATGGGGTTGTCTTATTTTGTTCGACTATTGTAATTCGCATTCAACTTAAATAGTGTTTTAGATATGATATAGTTATTGTTACTTTTAACAAGGCTCACTTAATGGGGTTATGGGACGGAGGATTCCACCGGTTTGGGCATTCTGCACTTTATGCCCCCAATTTTTTATGAGAAGTAATCAAGTTAGTTCTTAAGTTTTATTGATATTTTTATGGATATAATTGTACATAACACAACGAAGGTATGTCCGTATACATTAATTGGTTCAATTACGTTTTTGAGTCTGTAAAACATTAATCCCCGTGGTACCCCCCTCCCCCTTTCACAGCTCAGCTGAACTGTGTTGTCCTTGATAATATTGCTGATAGCCAAAGCCATACACAGTTAAATAAGTACGTGTGTAGTTGTTTGTGTGTATTCTCGGTACTTGTTTGCATAACCTCCTTCCGTAATGTAATTACCGTAGCTGACATCACAACTACTTTTCCCATACTCCCTGTATTTCTGTTGGCAAACTCTGCTGTATCCTGCTGTTTTTCCTCACGCATCTTTCTTGGTAATAAGATACATGAAATTACAAAAGTTAACATTAATGACAATATTAAATGCAGTTCCTATATTAAGAGTGGTCGCAATTTTGCTAAATTATCCAGGGAAGCCTGGAAGTTGGCTACACTGGCAGCACTTTTAGGGCTTAAGGATTACTCCGCTAATACACACGACCTGTAGAGTGTTGGTATTCATGCGGGTAGTCTCTTTGGGTTGGTTACTATTCTCAAAAAGACATTACAATATTTCGCCATGTAAAGAAATAAAATCATCAAGGGATTTCGTGTAGTTGAGGTTTGTACAGCTGTAAATAGCTCAGATTCCACAGGCATAATGACTGAAGGATATAAAAAATGCTTTTATATAGTTTATATATTTAATGATTTTGTATTGCTTCATCCTTATAGATAGGAACATGGAATGATTTTTGTTTGTGATTTCGTAAGTCTACCTAGTGGTTGGAAGGGACTTTGTTTGAATGAGGCTTCGTCTATGACCTTGAACCTGCACGTTTTGTGGATGGGTGCTTTTTTTTTTACTATCTCTGCTCGGAGACGGTCGATGCCTAAATCATTTCCAACTTAACTGTGCACTCGATGTATACATTATAAACTAAACTTGCTTTTATATTTTGCACCACGTTTTTTTTTTGCATTTTCTTCGAATTTGTTACGATACACGTTTTATAATTGATCATTAGTATGGTTTTGTTTTGTTTGATTTTTATATTTAGATAAGTAAATGGAATTTGACCATGTACGTAACACACAAATAACTGATTATTTATATTTCTCGCAGCCCCCGGACCGGAGCACAAGACAGCAGCCTATTACATGCAGGGAGTGTTCAACTTGGAGCTACGGAAGGATTTAATCTCGAGCACCCACGCCCACCATCCAGACCTGATCCGCCTCCACACGCCCAGAACCATGCCACCCAACTCCAACAGTATAACTCAACCTACCACCAACGGCGAGACCTCTAATACTACGGAAACGTAAGTTTAATACGAAGGAGGATGGCGGGAAAGATGGTAACGGCAACTTATAAAAAGGACTATGTACGAATGAGAATGAAGTATAGAGAATGAAAGGTGGGTGGCGTCTAGGATTTACTGGATTTGGTTATTACCCTTCGTATTAAAAGTGTTTGCTACCGACTTTTGTGCTGCAGTGTACCGACTCATTCCTGCACATGATTAATGCAAAAGGAGGTGCGGTGTTAAATGACACTGTTTATGATGAGAGGAGGGTGTGGGTGACGGTATTGTGGACCTTTGAAAATGTTACTGTGCAGTTAGTTATTTTTAATCGGTCGTGTTGTGATATTCGTTCCGTCATAAATTTTTAAGCAAGTTTTCCCATTTGTTATAAATTTGAATAGGTTCGACTGACCTGGTTATGGGGTAAAACAAAATATGTTGTGTTGCGATCCCTGTACACTTGCACCTGTGTTATAATGTGGATATACAGCTGTTACACTTGTCCCCATTGCTGCCACTTCTCAGTAAAATTATGAATTTCATGTTTTTTTGTATATATATATATATACCGGTACTGTAGTCCTGTAATCATGTTGCTTCACATGAATTTAAGCACTGCAGTACATGTGCTATTAGTTACTATTTTGATTGAATCTATTTTTGTGGGTCATTTGCAGTAAAGTAGAGGTTTGGCACTGTTAGCTTAGGTGTACTCGGACAAGCTGTATGACTCAGTTCAACAGTTGTTGGTGCAGTGTTAGACCGAAAACATCATTCCGTTCTGGATCATAATGACAGTGAATAATGAGTAGTTCTGTGCACAGGGAGATATTAATCCCTGCCAATTAGTGATATTAACATATCATTGCAAATAATATTGTAGACTGAAAATTCTCATAAATTTATTAGTCAAAGCTTTGCATATGATTAGCAAGAAAAGGAAACTACATAAGTGATAATAATATTTATGAAGAAAATATCAGAGAGGTGGTTTACAAATGAGCTATATCGTACTCAGTGTGAATGGAACATAGTGGAGTCCTCCCCGAACACCGAGTATCACAGTTCCTCTGATGCATACATCCTTGTTGATACCCTGTAAGTTACTCGTCATTTAAATGTTCTAAGAAGTTTGTGTCCAAAATTGTACACTGTTTACTTACATTAGCTGTCAGGTGTGATGGAGGCTGTTTAGTTTAAATGTAGATGATTCATGTTTGGGTCATGTATACTGTATATGCATCTTAAATTCTTTCAAAACAATGAATGCAATATTAAAGGCATTTGACATCTTCAGTGTGATCAATTAACATAGCAATAAATCCTATTTGATAGCAAATAAATATGAACATAACTTATCTTTGTCATGATTCATGTTAGATGAACAGTTCAGCTAAAGGTTTTATTTCCAACAGGTCGAATGAAAGGTCACCACTACCAGCTGATTCTGCTTACTTCACTACATCTGAAAGCAAAGCCAAGATGTTGACACGACTACGAGGTAGTAATAATAACCTGCATGATGGCATCACACCCCTCAATGATCAGCAACAACTCCACAAGAAGAAGGTGTGTTTACTTTGTTGTCTCGGATTTTGATAAAATATTTACTTTCAATCAGATGAGTACACCTGTAATCTTTACATAAAATCATGTGTAAAGGCAAATCCATTCTAGGACATTTTCTGTTGGATTTTGCTTGTTGGGGGGAAGTTGTATTAACCTTTAACTTTTCTGGACACTCAGTGCAGATGGAGTGCCATTGGGGTTGAACTTCCATGGTCATCTATACTGTTGATCCATATTATTCACTGCAAATTATCTTCATGTAGCATAAATTATAGATATACCACAATTGTATTTATTATTTTTTTCGGGGAGGGGGGGGGGGGGTAAAATACCGTAGGTTTGTGTGTCCAGCTTATATACAATGTAAACAGACACACTCCAGCTTTTTATTTCTGCCAGCCTGAAGTGCACGTAGATACATCTTTCTTACTTCTAACCTATTCATGCTGCTTAATAAATAAGACAGCAGCAGCAGATACCTCCTCTCTCCTGTTGAACACGATATTCCACTTTGTGGTTGACAAGATAACTTTGAAATTTTTTGTCTTATGTAAAAGAAATCATAATTACTATATGTTACAATTAACTGTTTTGTAGATGGTTTGTGTATACTGTATTGTGTAAAATTTATACAAATTAATGAATTATGAAAATTACTTAAAATTTGGTTTTGAGGAAGTTAGTAGCTTACATAGACATTGTTGAGTGGTTACAGCACAATGGAAGTTGTCAGAAAAAGATGCCACCAGAAGTGTTGGTGCTGTTTAAAAAGCAGTATTCAACTTTCATAATTATTTTTTTCTCTCAAAACTAGTGGACTTATAACTCATGTTTGTTATCAACAATGGCAGGAGGAGCTGGTGGTGAGCATTGGGCGTAAACTTGAAATCTTGCGAGCTGAAAGGGAAGCAATCAAGGAAGAGATGCGTTTGAACCAGGAGTTAGGAGTTGAGGTGACATCCAGAGTGGAAGCCAGAGCCAGGCTTGCAGAAGCTGAGAAGTACAAGCTACATGTGGAAGAGATCGATAAGATTACGTCTTTGCTCTTAGGGCTATCTGGTAGACTCGCTCGAGCAGAAAATGCTCTCATTATGCTAGTTGAAGATGCTGATCCAGAGGAGAAGGTATGTAATCATATAGTGTAATTGATTATACAACATTTTACTCTTGTTTTTAGTCTAATTAATTTGGCATTATCTTGGCAATGTATACTTTCATAAAATTATAACATCTTATTCATACCACTTCTTGCTTTATGCTGTAGATGTGCATCCAATTACATACATGTTTTTCTCTTGTTCTTGACATATTGTAATTTTATATTCTTCGTGTATATAGACATAACTATGCTAGTGATATCAAACTTCATAGCACTCAAATCCATACAGTATTCTTAATTTGTTATGTGAATCTGGAATCTCCCTATTGATTTATGTACTGTTATTCCTATTACTGTACTGTACTTCCTAATGTATACTGCTACTTAATTGACTTTTCAGGCTTGTTTATACATACCTGTATCACATGACTCCAGTAAAATTAATTTGCAATCATCCTTTTTTGCATTATCTAAACTTTTGCATCTTGACCTCACTAATTCACCTATTATATAGTGTGTCAATATCATTATCTTTCTCTTACTTTCGTACCTCCATCATGCTGTCATAAATCTCCGTCACCAGTTTCCTGCATTGATTACTCAAGGTTTATACTTAAAGCTAACCAGCAACTTTCACAACTGTAGGTCAGATGTCCACCTAGTCTGTTCACTTGAAGCTTGCAACTGAGGCCTAGGGTTAGTTTGTAGCAATGCAGCGTATTGATTGGTGGAACAACACTCCAAGAATCATTACAGTTCTTCAGCATCTAATCTATTGTATTTATATTGTGATATTGTAAGGGATAAAAAGCTTGTGTTGATCTCTGATAATTTCTGCACTTGGAGAGCACAAATAAACATGTGAAATGCACGTAAATTTGATAAAAAGGCTGCTGAAAAGCTTTATATAACAAGGACGGATGTTTGGGTCAGAAGCATGGACACTTTCAGCAGACACCAGAAAGAGGTTGGAGGCCTTTGAAATGTGTATGCTTATCACTGATTGGTCTGGGTTATCGCAGAATTATCATGGGACAGTGGCAGGTCTGCGAGAGCCAGCGGTAGCAGTGACTGCCAAGATATGGCAGCACGGCTCGTGCCGCCAGCTTCCAGTGGCAGCATTTGTTTCCCTGCACAGTTTTTGTTGGTGTTTGAAGATGGTTTCGTGCTCCGTGCTTGTTTTTGGTGCTTTTTTTGTAAATTTTACTTACCTTCCACCATGGCACCCGTGAACAAGAAAATTGTTAAGGTTCCTGATCCGGCTAAGCAACGAAGACGTGTGTATTCTCTGGTTGAATGTTCCGATGTTCCCAACAAGGATAACCATGTGCTTGGCAACACACCCATTGTGTTTTACCACTACCTTCCACCCCACCTCTCTAATCACCCCCACCTTTCTGCTTTCTCACTCCATAATTTAAAATTTATGTAGCATATGTGGAAGGAATACGACATTGTTCTTTTATACTTACACTCAATTTTGTGGGTAGACATCAGCAGTTCAGTTGTGCCTGGCAGTGCTGAAGCCAGTGTTACCAAACAAACCAATTTTCACATCTCCTCACCACTTAACACAATTTCCCCCTCCACCACCAGCTCCATGATCACCAACATCACCACTACTACCTCTATTGTCATCACTTAAATCATAATTTTAGTGTTGGATTTGCTTTGGCCAGAGCAGATCATCACGATGTCCACTGCACGATATCCCACCTTCCTCCCACCCACTGTGTTTCACCGACACTGCCTCTCATTTTGCTATGACTGTGATTCATGATACAATATTGTACAGTACTGTACATGGCTTATTTGTTATTCAGTAATTAGTAAAGATATGTTACTAGCACAGTGTTATATCTTTTAGTGTACTGTACCTTCACATTTTTGGTTTTATATTTTGGTCAGTTAGGGGATGCATCTTTGGGGTTGTGGGACAAAACTAATTTTTCCCATACGTTATGCGTTTTGATATTTACGGTTTTGCTCATCACAGTAGTTTTCTGGAATCTAACCACCGTAATTATCAAGGATACATACATGTACTAAGATTAGCTAAAACCTCAAGAGAAATACGTGAAATACTATATACTGAAAAAGAAAAATGAAATACCCTGTACTTTGATCATATAATCAGGGATGAGGGGATAAAAAAAAAGATATTAATGGGCAAAGTTGAGGGTAGGAGGGACTGGGATGGATGGATGAAATTAAAATCTGGGTCCCCAGAGAGATACAAAATCTTAGAAGATAGGTAGAAACAGCCTAAGAAAATTTAGAGTGGAGGACTGTGGTTGCCAAACCTCAGATATAAGGATGGTACTCTGAAGATTCCCAAAACACACTTTTGTTTTCTCTTATCAATGGCTTTGTGCAGATTAACAAAGTTTTATATTGTTCACACCTCTTGTAAATCATGTACAGCAGTAAGATTTTTTTATATAATTAGTTCAGTTTTAAAGATACTTGAGGTACTGTTTACGGGTATCTGCTCTTTTTTCAACATCAATTCATCATATTGTTATTGATATGGCCAATGAAACCACAGTCTAACCAAAGTTCTGAATTCATTTTAATTCACTCATGTAACCTACTGTTATGTAGTATTTGGGTCATTTCAAAACTAACTTTTAATAAAATTCTTTTACAGCGAATCCTTGAAAGTAAGCGTGATAAACTGAGTGAGCAACTTGAAGAGGCTAAAAGGCTCAAAGAGAACATCGACCGTAGAGCAATACAAGTAAGTGTGTTTAGTCTTGTACACTTGTAGTTTGACAAGTACTAATGTTGATACATTAAAATCATCTCACCTGAGGTTTCAATAAATAAATCCGAAATGCCTCTGGCCCCAAGGATTTCGGATAAGGGGTTGTCAACCTGTATAAATGTAATGTTGGGTTCTGTCGCTTACTATGCTATGCATTATCTTAACAATTTAGACATCAATAACTTGTAACAAATTTTATAATGCTATTTTATTTTTGTGAAAAAAGTAATACTCGTGTATCAATATGATAATGGTTGCCCCTCGTGTATAAGGACGGTGTGTCCAAGGGCCCAGTGTCAAGGAATAGTCCGAGAAGACCGGACAACTCGCCAACTGCACTGGCTTACCATTACCCCAGAACACGATCCACAATTCAATAACTTCCAGGTTCCCAATTACTGCTGGGTAGACAGAGGCAAATGGCATAAAGAAACTTGCCCATAGTTTTACTGTCAAGGATCAATCACTCACTTACGAGGCGAGCATCCTGACCATTACCCCTTGGTCTTCCCTATCTTCACACCATATATAATATGTGTACAGTGAACCCTCACTTTACGCGATCAATTGAACCCACGGCGGCACGCGTAAAGTGAACAACATAACATATGGGATTAATTGAAATAGAGACCGGGCTGACCCTCAAACTCCACTTTTTCAGACACAATACCTACGTTGTAGTAAAAATAACTTCTTAATTTTATGATGATATGCACACACAATTAATAATTAAGAGAAATATCAATAATATTAGGTTTTTTAACACTTACATTAGTAGAAAAGATGGCTGGGCACACGGGGATGGGGGATTGGTTCCGAGGCAGAGGGCAGATTATTGGCCATCACCTGTATCAATTGTATCACTATCCACCACAGAGGCTTGCAGGGCCTCTTTGTCAAACCCCTCAAAGTCCATATAAGTCCATATCCTCACTATCATTATCACTGACTTGGGCCGGCTGTGGTGGGTGGAGAACTCGGTAATGTTTTGATGACTGGGCAACCTTGTGCGTACCCTGCCTGCGCCGCTCTCCGCGTAAAAGAGTACATGCACCGCGTAAAGTGAGCATTCCGTGTTCGGCAGGGTACCGCGTAAACGCGTAAAGTGGGGTTTCACTGTAATTTATCCTCCTCTTAATTATTATTATTATGAAACTAATTTATTTTAATTCTGCAGGTTTCTAAGGTGCTAAACCAGTATTTGACTGAGGATCAGTATGCTGATTATGATCACTTTATTAAGATGAAGGCGAAACTCATAATGGATGCCAGAGAGATAGATGACAAGATCAAGCTAGGTGAGGAGCAACAGCAGGCATTAAGGGAAACCATGTTCAAGAAGCAGTGAACTTAGTGAGGCCCCAATATATAAACGGTGTATATTTCTAAGGCGTCATACAAAGTGCAGTAATTGTGATTGTTGATTATAAACTGATTCACAGTAAGGTGTTGTGAAATTCACCGTGGTGTCTGGAAACTAAGTGTAATATAAAGGACAAATGAACAAGAAGCTAAGTGACATTCAGCATTCTTCTACAGAGGGGATCTTTGCCCAAAAACACTTAATGCTGGGCATGGTACTATTTCTTTATCTCGTTTATTTACCTTGTGATGCAAAGGTACATGCAAACAGCTAAAGATAATGTTTATATAGGTTTTGTAAGAGTTGTCTCGCGTTTAAAATCAGGTATTATGTATTACCATAACAGAAAATCATGGCATAATAAATATATTTTATATCTCCTAAGCCAGTATTTCATTATATAGCCAGGAGCTATGAAGAGATGTGGAGTGAACCTTCCTACTGGCATTTTATGAATGGTGTCATACATGTGTTGATATGACTTGTGATCCGTGTCCCAATATTTATTTATGTGCGAAAGTTAAACGTGAGAAGTATTGGATTAAGCACATAATGAACTGTACATTGTAGCCAGAGTCTTTATTTGAGGATACTAGCTGAGGCAGCACCAGTGATGTGCTGCAGGACTAACATGAACATTTAGTGGGCACTTAGATAAATTCTGCAAGAAATGGGCATAAATACAATGTAATTTTATGTTATTTAATATATTATTATGTTGAGGCTTTTCTGTTAAGTTTATGTACTGACAGTGCAATGAATATCATGGCAGTACTTACTCAAATACATGTTTGAGTTTGCTGTGACCTAGTAATAACAAAAACACAACTCACCTTATATCTCATGGATTCAAGGAAGAGTGTGTACAGTATCTGTAAACCAGTTATAATGTCCTGTAACTAAATAGAAAATTAATATTTTGTATACATGGAAAACACCTCGTACCATTTGGAAGAATACCATCTTCTCTTTCACATTTTATGATATTCATATTATGGCTTTCTCGAGGGTTTTAGTTTGACTTCAGGCTGTATTATTACTTCTTGTAATCTTTTTGTGTATACAGTTGATCCTATGATGCTTTTATGCTTGGTGTGTTTTGGGTCATTTTTTTTTCAGTTAAGAGTAATTATTAACTAAGGAGAGCTTGTGCCCACATGTACACATCTTTTTTATACTATCTGCAGTCCTATCTAACACTGTCGCTTCCACTACATGATAAGAAGCCAAATGGTTTTGAAGGTTGGGCAGCACAACCCATCATGGAATATTTCATTAGTCCATAGTATTTTGTTTACTGTTTATTAGTGAATACATCATGCCCACACTGGCAGCTGGACATAACTGGACTAGTGAGCCCACTAAATGATGGAGTCTTGACATTCAGGGTAGATAGTACATTTACCCAGCAAGAATTATTAGTGCCACATTGTATATATTAGTTGTTTAATGGATGCCAAAAGACCGTCCTGTTCCTTGATATCTGTATCTACTAACTGTGTTTAAAAGAAATTATTGGTTTTATACTTTTAAGACTAGTTGCAAAGCAACGGTGTTGTACTGTACAGTAGTGCTTGTTTATAATGTACGCCAAATTCTATCATTCTTCTACCTGGAAGAAATAAAAATGAGAGTTAATGTGATTATTATTCCATACCATTAAGCTAGGTTATAAAATTTAGTTCAGGTTTGCTTCGGGCATCTTTCGTAACAAGTCATAATTAAGTGGTTGGTAAGACAAATGGGAAATAACCAAAACTTTTTCACTTTTCTAAAAATAAATACTTTGTTAATTTATCAAGTGAAAGGTAACTTGTGTTTTCTTAGAAGTGTGTATACAATATTGTGTTTGGACCATATAAACTAGAAGTAGTCTTCTAATAAATAATAATAATAATAATAATGGTTGCCCCTTGTGTAACGAGTATAAGTGGTCACCAACACAACAACCACACCTTAAGTTAACGAGCTGCATGACCCAGTGTCAAGGCATAGTCCGAGAAGACGGGACAACTCGCCATTACCCCGGAATATGATCAGCAGTCGATTAACATCCAGGTTCACAATTACTGCTGGGTAGACAGGCAAACGGCATAAAAAAACTTGCCCATAGTTTCACCCTGCCCAGGGATCGAACCTGGGTCCACTTGCTTGTGAGGCGAGCATGCTGACCATTGCATCACAGGTCCTCATGGAAGTAGTCTTCTATGTACTCAATGTAAACATAAAATCATCCTCAAATTTGAACCTTGGTTGCAGATATTCCACACTCCTATAAAGAATTGCAAATGTAGTGCTGGTGGGCAAAAGAAAGGCAGCCAAGGATTCTTTCAAGAAAAATTTAAAAGTGTCAAATTGACACACACCTGGAAGAACATCATCCCCAACCAAGTCATTCTAAGCATTTACTGTACCACAAACTATTAAAATACCAGGTAAAGGTTCACTATTCGTGTTCACATCAGTGATTTTTTTGACAATAATAAAAAAACATAAAGGTTTCCTACATAGAGAATGCCTTGTATCTGCTCAGAAATTGTGATTTACTGGACACAGTAAACAGTATATTTTTTTTGGTGTTTTTCTTTCCATTAAATCATGCAGTATGTCCAATGGTGCCACATTAAAATTATTAATGTAGAGTTGTCAGTGATCATGATCTTTCTTAAAATTTAATACACTAATTTAAGTGCTTAGTCACAACTAAGTTTAATAAATTTCAGGTTTTTAAATCAGTGGTGAAGATAAAAGTAAAGGTAAAATACAATGTAGCAGTCACTACGAGCATTAACGTGTATGGAACAATCGCTTGTGTTACATTGTTAACAACAGGTCAAGTAAAAAAATATGGTGAGTGGATGTGACAGTTGGAAGAAAATCATTTAAGGCAGTGGATATTTTGTCGTGACTGGTTATGTTCCTACTTTCCGGTAACGCTATTTGGTTAATATTCGTCCATTGGCTGTCCACAGGTTTCCAATTTTCAATATTACAAACACAGACTAGAAAAAACGAAACATATGAATTCATATCATTTCTTGTGCAAATCAATATTAACAGAATATCTCGAAAATTTCGACGCTTATATTTCTGTATCCGCCATGTTGCTCTGTGTTGCCAGTCACTTGTCTCCTCCTTGTGATATGACAACCTTCAAATATCTTGTCATGTCACTTGGCTGGCCAATCATTTTTAACCAGCCTTCCACTGTGCACTTTAAAATTTTGAAGGCTTTCATGATGGCATGTGATAAGTGTTCTCTCCCATATCTAACTGTTATTCAGCGAGTTTATGAGAACGACAGTGAAGCAATAAAATTATTACAAGATCATGGTGTCCTACTAACATCAAGACTGTGACGTAAGTGTGGAAATTGTTTAGTTTAAATAAAAGACAGAAATTACCATCCTCCACCACTTCTCCAGATCGCCCAGCTGTATCCTCCACCTTAGTAGCAGGTAAGCTTAAAAAAAAACTGGGCTAGGTTGTATATAATGTAGGTTAGGTAAGGTTAGCTTTTTTGTTTTGTTGTATGGTGTGTTTTACTCAAACCTGACTGCCATTTTTGTGCAAATTAGCGGTTTCTGTTACAAAGGAAAATATTCATCTAAAAAAAAAAAATCTAATTTGCACAAGAAATAAAGGTCATATTTGAGTAAAACACCAAAAAACCTGACAACAGCCAATGGACGAATATTTACCCTATGCTAAATTGCCAGACAGTTCTGATATGCTCATCATTTCTTGTGCAAATTTTTCATTTCATAGATAATTATGCGCCTAGGTGCACACTAATTTGTCTTCCCGGTGGTAATGTGGCTGCACTCTGGTGCTGAGCTTTTCCCTGGGCTCGTGGCAGTTTCATCTTCAGCATGAAGTTGTGAAGGTTGTTGCCGGTCTTATATGGACGTAATTTGCGAATTTAGGGATAAAGACAACGAGACCCATCAATTTTTCAAAGACCACGGCATTGTTCCTTAAAATAGAGACTGTCCACAGTGTGGGAATTCCTGCACTTTCACACCGGAAAGAAATCTGTTCATCACTTCCTCAACGTCGTGGTTTAACGTTTCACGCCATCACAATAAATCACTCCACCGCCCAGGCTGCATAAGCGCCGATGCGCTCGCATCATCACATGTCCAGAAAATGCCTCAAATTTCAACATATAGTAAGTTCTTTGTTTTATACATGTATACCGTCCGGTGAGAAAGTTAGGTAAGCGAAGAATGACGAAAATGATTCCGGGACTTAGAAACCTTCCATATCAAGATAGGTTAAAGAAACTAAACTTGCATTCCCTAGAAAGACGAAGAGTGCGGGGAGATGTGATATTAGTATTTAAGTGGTGAAAGGAATCAATAAAGGAGATATAGATAAAGTTCTTATAAATTCCGAACAGGATAGGACTCGTAGCAACGGATTTAAGTTGGATGAGTTTAGGTTTCGGAGGGAGATAGGAAGGAACTGGTTCACAAATAGGGTGGTGGACGAGTGGAACAAGCTTAGCAACTTTGTAGAAAGTACTGGAACTTTGGAAAGTTTTAAAAGGAGGCTAGATAGATTCATGGATGATAGAGAGTGGTAGTACTCTCGACAGGAGCTGCCATGCACAGGCCAACCGGCCTATTGCAGACTCCTTATTTTCTAATGTTCTTATGTTCCACGGTATATTAAACAGAAAGAACTTATAATGATATAGTGAAATTTGAGGGATTTTCTGGATGCGAGATGATACAGCCGCATCGGCGCTACGCAGCCCTAGCGGGTTAGTCCTATATACTGTATTAACCTTTTATATATCAGTGGACGAGGGGCACAATTATGATGTGGTATATCTCGACTTTAGCAAAGCCTTCGACAGAGTCCCCCACGAAAGAGTAATAAGAAAAGTGGAGGCTCATGGCATTAAAGGTGATATTCTAAAATGGAATAGGGCGTGGTTACAGGACAGAAAACAGTGAGTGTGCATTAACGGCACTAAATCCCATTGGAGCAACGTCACCAGTGGAGTTCCGCAAGGCTCAGTACTTGGACCATTATTATTTATATATATATATAAACGACATAGATATCGGGGTAGACAGCAACATAAGTAAATTTGCTGTTGACACTACAATAGGACGTGTAATTAAATCTGACGAGGACTCCGCAAAACTACAGGAAGATCTAAAAAAAAATTTTTAATGGTCTGAAAAGTGGCAGATGAAATTAAATGTGGACAAACATAAAGTACTCAGTATAGGAGATGTAAAAAGGGAAACCAGATACCAGATGAACAATTATGTTACTGAGAAATCCGACTGCGAGAGGGATTTAGGAGTAATGATCAGTAGGAATCTTAAGCCAAGTAAACAATGTATATTTGCTCGAAACAAGGCTAATAAAGTACTTGGGTTCATACAAAGGAGTGTGAGTTACAAGACTAGCGAGGTCATCCTAAAACTATATCTTGTGCTTGTGTGACCTCACTTTGATTACGCAGTTCAGTTCTGGTCAACGTATTACAGAATGGATATAGAATCCTTGGAAATATTTCAGAGGAGAATGACAAGACTAATCCCGGGCATTAGGAACCTTGAGTAAAGAGACAGGTTAAAGCATCTTAATTTGCACTCCCTTAAGAGACGTAGAGTGAGGGGCGACATGATAGAGGTGTATAAGTGGAAGTCAGGGCTAAACAAAGGGGACATTACAAAGGCACTCAAACTATCCAACCAGGAGCGAACTCGTAACAATGGTTTTAAATTAGACAAATTTTGATTTAGGCGCGAGATAGGTAAACACTGGTTTGGAAATAGAGTAGTGGACGAGTGGAACAAGTTACCAAATATCATTAACTCGAATACGCTAGATAGCCTCAAACATAGGTTGGATGGCTATAATATAAGCAATAGGGGTTGGGTGTAAATGGGACTGCCCAGTATGGGCCAATAGTCCCGCTGCAGTTTTCTCCATTCTTATGTTCTTATAACAAGATTTTTACATGGAAAATATAGACACACACCTCTAGAGTCCTCAGGTCGGGTTTATGTTGCGGTCGCTTACTAATACAACACTGTGTATTGTACAATATACTGTAATGGAAAGTGGCGTAAATATCTTATACAAATGAATAAAAATTAATATATATATATATATACATACACTATATTCTTATATTATAACGTTGTTATAAAAATAGATTCCAAAGTTAGTATAAGAAAATATTAGGAGTGAATAATTTACAATCGATGAAATGATCCCACATATTTAGCTGGCAGAAGAAGTCCCAGTTCTTGAAGTTAAGTAAAGGAATTAAATTATGAGTATATTCTAGAGATTATTTGTGTTTTGGATATTGGCGTTTTATATAATTATTTATAAACCAAAATGCATCATTTTGACTTTAAACACAACGAGCCTATCTATTAGTATTGTGATGCATTAATTAACTATATTGGTATATAAAATATTTTATTCATTTATCATAAAAAATAAATATAGTTTTACTCACTTCAGGCGATTATGTTCCAACCCTTTCTCTGTAACATCACGTCTATGGAAAAGTACCGCTAAATGTGTCGTCTGCTTGTGTCGGTGGCTTATTTCGCGACAAATATTTTCGCTGATGTGTTTAGAGCTGTTTTCTGTATCTCTTACTCTTTTTATTGGTTATATGAAGTGTACACATTGTCTTATTAAATCGCTAGAATATCAAATCTGAATAAAAAATGTTGTTAAGGGCCTGTTCACAGCTTGGGACAATAGGATCTCGAATCACGAAGGTCAGTTGTAAGTTATCAGAGGTTGGGAGTGGACGTGTGATCACTACTCCTTCTTGTGTAATCACTCGTACAACTGTATCTGTAGCGAACATGAGTGCTCCCAAGAAAATTTGTATCTTAGGTTCGGGGAACTGGTAAGTTGTCCACTGCAATTTTTCGTGTGTACTGCATGGCTAGTGAAACTGTTGTGTGTTAGAGAATAGGACCCGTCATCAAACCCAGGGGCAAGTACTGTACGTTTGAGCTACCACCCAGAACATCGTTATCTGAACATAATTAGTAATGTCTTAATTAGTGATCAATCTTTACTTTCGGAGTAATTATTCTCATAATTGCGGTCGTCAGCATTCGTATATCTGGATTAGTTGCTATATAAATCAAACGCACTGACACCGATACTTTTTATTATTCATTTCATAAATAGACAGTACTTTAACGTAATGTACAGCAGCTGAATTTTAATAGTTCCCAAGAGGTTTACGGACATGCGTAATAAATTGATTTTAATACAGTTCCTCTGGCATGCAGGTCCGTTTGGGTGATGACTCGTTTATTGCTCGGCCCGTTGTTATGTTGTTCACTCACCACCTTAACAACACAAGGCTCGCTGCTACTGGTTACCGTTATATCACTTGGCCGCTGTACAGTAGATCCTCGTCAGACAAGGGCGGTGATCCTTAAAAAGTGAATGACTGCATTGGCATGGAGTGTGTCTGACAGCCAAGATGGTCTGTGTGTGTGTGGAGTGAGGCAGACACAGTGGTCTCTGTGAAGTGTACCTTACAGCCACAGTGGTCTGTGTGTGGTGTGACTGACAGCCTGTGGTCTTGTCATTTTTATTCTTGTGTGGAGTGTACTCCTTTTAATATATCCGTTGAGACATTGTTACATAACTATTTGACAAATTTCATAACCTAATGACAGAACACATATCGAATGACAATCTAAAATAACTGTTGGTGGTATGTCATTCTCCAATTGTTACATTCTCAAACTATATGTAGATTGTCGGTTTATTGTTCACGTCTGTCAACTTCATAACTTATGTCAATCACTTCCGTTAGCATGAACGAACAGTTATTTTAGATTGTCATTCGATGTGTGTTCTGTCTGTCTGTTATGAAATTTGTCAAATAGTTGTGTAACAATGCCTCAACGGATATGTGAAAAGGTGTACTTCACATTCACAGTGGTCTGTGTAGAGTGTGACTGATGGCTACAGTTGTCTGTGTGGAGTGTACATTTAATTTAAAAAGGGAGTAAATGATATGTAAAGGTACGAGTTAGCGGAGTGAAATTTTGAGGGTGCTTAAAACTTTTCAGTGTTCACTGTGTTTGAGGATTTGTTGACAGTGATTGCTGAGATAGAGGGATGTTAATCCTTGCTCCCTGTACCTATGATTTTTTTTTGCAGTTCTTATTCAGTAGTTTTGTCACAGTATCGAGAACCTTAGTCGCATTTACGAAAACAAACACACTTCCTTTCTTCCTCCTTATCAGCATATAGACACAAAGTCAAGTGTGTGTGCATAGCTGGCACTGGTTACCAAGCCGAGTCAAGTGTGTGTGTGTGTGTGCATAGCTGGCACTGGGAAGATGGCCTTTTTGGCTACGCATCCCACTTTAATATTAATGTACAGTACCGTATTTAATGCAACGCTCCCTTCCCCGTGATGTCGTCTGATTTTAGGAAGTTTGATAATTGCCAAATCACTTAAATATACTTTACCAAAATGTTTTTTCAAGTCCAAGATATAACTTGGATAAATGTAGGTGGGTGTGGTAATTTATTTTTTATTATACTGTATAAGTGAAATATTGATTGGTTGTATCTGAACGGCAGGAAAAGAATTAGTATCTCTAAATCCCGAGAAGAAAAATAATATACGGAAGGGAAGGAATCAAGGACAACCACCTCACTGACTTGCCTTTTCCCTTGTCAAGCGGCCTTGTTGAAGTCCCAGGGGGTAAACAAACCTACTGTATAAGCAACTTAGCTTGCTTGATAGTATTGCTGAAAAAAAGAAGAAAATACCGGGTCAATGTTATCATTAAGAGTTAGGGTCAGTTACGGACTGATTGTGTTTAGAGAAAAATCTTGGTTTTTGGCGGTGAATAAATCCAGCACTTGTAGATAGGGACAAAGTGAAAGTATCGGATTGGTAATATCAGTCATCATAAGCTGATGGCCTACTTCCCTGTTTCTCTATGAATAGTGTACACGTGTATCCGTCCGTGATATTCATTTTCTTGCTATTGTGGAGTGATATACTGTATTGTATACATACATTAAATTTTAGATTATTGTTGGAAGCCCTGCAAATATACTGTTGTAGAGAAACTTACATAAGTAATATGTGCTGTAGTAAGCAATGACACACCCAGAAATACAAGAGTTTTCATTGGTTGGTAGTCCACTGGACTTACCAGTTAATTGGCTGCTCGCTCCACACCCAGCCTCCAGATTGGTTAGCGGGTGGGTGTGTGTGTAGATTGCAAGCGGTATCTGTTATGTCTAATTAGGTCGTTGCGTGTTACCATTATTATAATTCTAGTTGACTCACTCACTTTCGTGCCATGTCTCATAGATGCTATATAACTTGCCTATCATTATCCCCGTCAGACGTAAGTTGAGGGGCGTTATGTTGTAGCCCTGTCCTTCCGTTTTGTCCTAAACACATTATGTACTTCACAAATGGCCAGCTCTTGAGTCATTGTGACTTGTGAGATTGAAGTTAAAAGAAAGATCCAACGACAAAGCAACCGCGATCCATAAAACGAGTTTAAGCAGATTGTTGCAGCAGTTTTCTTGGATGTGTATTATATTACTTGTTACGAATAGATAAATCCATGTTTACATATACTGTGTTGTATGATTATCAAGCGAACACTTTTATATGAAGAGCGGTAGTGTGTTGGTACTGCACTAGACAGATTGCGCCAAATTTGCACAAAAGGGGGACGCGGAAGCCAAACACTGACTGACGCTGGCGACTTTTACCAAGGTCAATAGCCATTCTTAAGAGGATAGTTGGGAGAGGGAGGTAATATTTTTCATAACCAAAAGTTCTATTGAGAAAAAAAAAGGCTTACTAAACATGTCAAATAGTAAGAATAATCGTGGCAGCTGAAAGCACCTTAAACATAACATTGCCTAGAAATTTGGGTTGAGTAAAAATTCGCGGGTGGGAAGTGATGAAAAGTGGAACAATAAACAAGTTCTGAAGAAAAACGATTCCAAGAGTAACGTATCAGTTGAATAAACGAAGTATTTTTAAGCAGGCGTTGGTGCTTTTATTCCTTCAGCTACAATGTGTATGCGTGTATGTAGTTCAGTGGATACGTTCTTGGGATTCACGTATATAATGCAGATTATTATTCTAAAATAATTTTTAATTGTTGATGGCGAGTGTAATTACTAACCTCGTTACGCTCAAAGACAGCAGCATCAATTGACATTACATAGTGTTAACCGTTTGGTAGGTGCCCTTTTGTGGTAGGAAAGTTCACGCTGGCTATAGAACAGTTGTGTCACTTGGCCACCTTGACGGGCCTTGTACCGGTTTCCTCCACTCATTAGGCATTTGGGTAGAACAATACTACCCTTCACGGTCTTCAGGGGGCCCTTTCATTTTGTGAAGACCAATATATAGATGTGTGTGACGTGTCAGCTTGGCTCCTTCGCTGTCTTGATAAATCGTTATAAGTAAGCGTTAATTAATTTTGTGTTCGGGTGTGAACAAGTGTATAAATGTACCAGCAGTACTCGCTTCGAAGCCGTAGTTTACTCCCCTTTCGTGTCGTCTGTACCTTGGGGTGGCATATATGCTTGTCTGACTACATTATAAGCATGTTCTCTGGTACCCATGTACAGTATATTACGCACGACTGTACAACCTGTGAAATTCTATTTGTGTAGAAACTCGTACCTTTATGCTTGCCGTTATTGATGAAATGATTTTAAATAATTTTACTATTAACATAATAGTTTGTGCAGAGACAGTATGCTGTGTATTTAACTTAGGCCCTAGGGAATAGTTACACTGTATTTCCTTCTGCTGTAGTTTGAAAGGGTTTTGAGGTTTCTAGGTACAGATTCACAAAGGTTCGTAACATAAGTTATAAGAATGTGCTTAACTCTTTGACTGAAGCACCAAAAAATAGCGTAAAAAATAATCATAAAATTACCCTGAAACACTCCCGGGGTGGTACCATAAGCATAAATTCTTTCAATTAGCATGGGGCGGTAATGTGTCTCCTACCTGTTAAAGGAACATATCCACTGGATATGCATTCTTAAATATACAACTTCGTTGAATATTTTGTTGTACGAATTCTTGAGAATCTGGACCCTAGAATATGAACATCAGTCGTGGTGGTGTTAGATCTATTAGTACAGTAAGAGGCACCTGTGAAATTAAGGATGTTGGAGTAGTATTGGGAGTAGAGCGTATCATACAGAACGTGCACACCTCCCCAGCTCAAACGGTAAGATAACAAATCCTCTTTATTTCTATCGCCAATCTTGTACAGCAATTTGTAATACCCGGTATGAGTGATATATGTTACTTATTGCATATTTTTGTTTTGCTATGTATTATATTGTAACGTAAATGATATTTGCTGTTAGCCTATGACTTCCATTGTAATTTTAGTGTTTGTTATTCTTGTGTGTCAATTAAAACATGAATGTTGAATGTGGTGTATTTGACAGGGGGTCGGCTATCGCCAAAATCGTCGGGAACAATGTGACTAAATTTGACAAGTTCGACAATGAGGTGAAGATGTACGTGTACGAGGAGATGGTTGAGGGCAAGAAGTTGACCGAGATTATCAACACCACCCACGAGAACGTCAAGTACCTCCCCGGCAAGAAACTCCCAGAGAACGTGGTGAGTGTTAACGGTGTTTAGTGTGTCGCTGTTATCTCCAATCATACTTTTATTTTTTCATCCTCGTCCATACTTTTTTCCTGTTGCAACTTCCTTGCTTTTTTCCCCTCATACTTTGTCATCTCCTGGCTTTATTCTTTGCTTTCTTTTCTACTGTTCTCCTTGTTGGCCCTTTCTTTATCTTCAAATCTTCATCACCCCTCAGTTTGTCACATTACTTTTATAATTGGAAGGGAAATTTAATGTAATATTTTTAATCATAAAGAGGTGGCCGTTGAAGACTGGTGGAAGTAGTGCCATCAAGGCGATAATGTTTGACAAATGGTAAGGCCACTCTCATTTTGATATATCGTATTCATTATTTTATTTAATGATTTATGGTTTTATTCAGGGAGCCCAGTTATTCCAAGCGCTGTGTAGTAAGAGAGATGAATATAAATTTTTATCGTGGGACTTTGTACGTATCAGGGTCCGCTTATCTTTCTTGTAATGCCACCTTATACGTCGCCCCAACTGCCCCTATGATACCTTCCTACACCATCACAGAGCACCACTGTATTATCAACACCAACACCTGTTCTCACCACAACTGCTTACTCCACCTTTAAACCCAACCTGACACCTTGCACCCCCCCACCTAACACTATACTACACCACACTACGTTACGCTACCTAGCTGTAACCCGTCACATCATACTTACCTAACTGTAACCCGTCACCACAGCATACTCAACTAACTGTAACCCGTCACCGCAACATACCCTACAAAGCCGCACTTATCTATACATGCCTTCTTTCCTCATCACACCAGCTGACTTCACCAATACTCCTCAGGTTTCCACTCACATACATCAATTTTCCCCCCAAAGTTACGTTCAAATTTTGCCACGTGACCACGCCTTGTTTCCTCTCCAGTACATGTCGGTTGCGTGTTATTGATCTACATCGGGAACAAGATGGAGGAGGGTTGGTGCTTGCATGGCCCCACAGCCGCCCGTGCCTAATGTCTATGTGGGAGACATGACAGGAATCCGTGCATGGAGCCTTAGGAGGTGGGGGGTAGGGGGGGGGGGTGTTGTTTGCTTGGTGGATGCAGGGGTGGTGTAATATTAAGTCACCAACTTTGTGTCACGTGGGCTGGGCGACGATACACACGTGGAGCGGCTGAATTTGACCCACGTTTCATCCGCTATACACAACCCATGACAAGTGTATGTATAGCTCGTCAGTCTTCCCTTGATACGCCTCTAGCCACCTACAGTACAACCAGTCCATGAGATGTAAAATAGTTATACACCTCCCACACTCATCACCCTTCTATACCCTCTATACACCTCACATACCCTCAGCCGTTTTGGCTGCCCACCAAAATTCACCGTCATTGTGAGGGAACTCCACGATGACATAAACGGCAGTGTCCTGTACAATGACAATCAGTCTGAGTTCTTCCCCATGGAAACGGGGGTAAAACAAGGATGTGTACTGGCACCAACTCTTTTCCATTTTCTTGGCTGCTTTCCTTACTCGTGGCAGTGCCGATTTAGCTGGCAGGGTGGACATCCAGTACCAGATGAAGGGACTTTTCAACATAAAACGACTCCAGGCTGGAACAAAGGTGTCAGCAACTTCCATTACTAAACTTCAGTATGCAGACGACCTCACCCTCGTCACTCACACTGAAAGCGACCTACAAGAGATTCTGAACACCTATGCAGTTGCATATGCACACTTCGGCCTTGTGGTGAATGTATGTAAGACTCAGTATCTCTTTCAGCCTGCCCCTGGTTCAACTACACCTCCACCTTCCATTCAGCTTAATGGTGCCACCCTCTTCTACTGTATGTTACCCAATTTAGTTCCAGTATCTCGGCTCCCACTTGTCCACCACCGCGGACATCGATGAAGTGATTCGACATCGAATCAGATGTGCATCTCAAGCCTTTGGTAGACTCCGTACCCGTGTCTTCAGCTGTAGGGAGCTGAGGTTATCTGTAAAGTTGCATGTACTGTATATGGAGCAGTGGTCCTCCCCACCCTGCTGTATGGCAGTGAGATATGGGTCACATACATGAGGTACCTCAAGGCACTTGAAAACTCTCACCAACGTAGTCTACATTCCATTCTTCCGAGTTTGCGTGGAAGATTAGAGAACAAATGCCAGTATTCTCACTGATACCAACTGTAGGAACATCGATGCTACCATTATCCATGAACAACTACGTTGGACTGGCCATATTACCCGCATGGACGACAGTAAACTGCCTAAGCAGCTACTTTACAGTCACCTAACGAATGGTAAACGTAACGCTGGCGGGCAACTGAAAAGGTATAAGGATAGTCTTAAGACAAACCTGAAAAGTGCCAAATCGACCCTCTCTCCTGGGTGACGATCACTCCACATCGCAAAGCTTGGAGGAGCACCACACGAGAAGGTGTCAATACTTTCGAGTTAGCCCGATTCTATACTGAGGCAGACAAGCGCCGGAAAGACGCTGGCGTCGCCCCTCCCACACGTGCAGCATCTGCCAGTTCCCCTATCGACCTCTCGAGTCACCTCAGATCTCACCAACGAAGGTGACATCCTTAATAACTCATATCATTGAATCATAGCTGGATGATCGTCATACTCAGTTCCGAGTGACAGCAAAGTAATAGTAGTAATGTGTGTGTGTGATGGCCTAACATAGTGATGAATGAGTCCGTGGATGGAGGGAAAACACCTGTCAGCCACACAGACCTGCCACACCTGTAAACACACCTGTGCTATGTATTCCACCTCGTCCGTATACACCGCAGTACTGTACGTCAAACACCTGTTCTGCCCTGCCCCACACTGCACCATACACTTGCCTTACCCTGCCACACACTGCACCATACACTTGCCTTACCCTGCCACACACTGCACCATACACTTGCCTTACCCTGCCACACACTGCACCATACACTTGCCTTACCCTGCCACTGTCCTCCTAAACTTGTATGCCAGCGCTGTTATTACGTATACAACTCGAGGCTCAGTGGTTTGCCAAGGTCCCGGATTATTCACTTCCTAGTGTGGCGTGACAGTGAGTTCATCCCAGCGTAACAACACTATAATTATTGGCCGCTTTCGGGGATAGTTGTTGTTGGCATTATTTAACAGTTGGCTGCTTGTTATGATAGAATTCGTGTCATTTACAAGGTTTTTATTTGACCTCGTTTTTTGGTCAGTATTGTGTTGCAGAAGCTACTAGTCTGTTTGTCTGGTTCTCAAGACAAGATGGCGAATGATAAACTAAATGTTGGTGAGAGTGAGTAGAGGAGGGACTCGGTGATCACCAAGGACTGTGTTGAGAGAGAGAATTGTATGACCTAGCTATTGTGAACGTATAATAGTGTATTTGTGTGTAATATTGTTGGTGCCAAGAGGCTTATTGGCACTACCTGGGGTCGTGAGAGATAGCAACACACACGCCACCTGCCGACCGGTGTGTCCTTACCCCCCCCCCCTATCTCTCAACCTCACCACCCATTGCTTACCTCTACTTATGTCATCCAGTAGCACACCCACCTCGTCAGGGCAAAGGTCATGTGTCTCCATTGTTGTTGTTTTTAGGCTAGTCATCGTGAGTTTTGAGAGAGAGTGGCATTGACGTGTAGAGATGGATATAAAGAGTGATGGTGTAAATATAGTGGGAGAGTAGCGTGCGATAAGACGTAAATAAATATGGTGAGATATTATCAAGAGGTGTGGTAATAGTTTGTCCAGAGATTGTGAGACTGAAACTTTACTTGTTATTGTTCATGCCATTGTCGATACAGTTGATTGAAAGAAATTGAAAGAGAGAGAGAACTACATATTACAGTACAGTATATATACAACCTGTATTTGTATATCAGTATCAGAGCTACAGGTTGGGTGTCTAGAGAGGACCTCCCTGACTGGCCAAGTATACAAGGTGTTAGGTGACGCCCAAGGTTACTAAACATCGTCTTGGTTTATAATCTCCAGTACCTTGAAAAGACTCACAGCCTCTCAGGATTATTTACTGAGTAAAGACTGACGTTTGGCTCATCATTGATTCCAGTTGCTACATTATTTACGTGTATTGACGTTTATGGTCTTAAGAACTCACTATTGCGTCTCCTTGTCCCTGATTTGTTATAATACAAAATAGAATAGAAGGTGATCATCTTTAATGAGTATTTTAGATAACATAAATCTCGACTTGAAATATGAAACTCCGCCCACCTATGGGTACCATAGCAACCAATAGGGTTCCGGTTACTAAGGGAGACCAAAAATGGGCAAAGTTTAATTGACAAGCCAAGGGAAAATTTTTGGACAATGAAGCTTATAAAGATCGGAACGAAGAACAGACTGCCGTAAGCTGATGAAAGGTAGAAATGCACACACACAACTAATGGCACCGTAAATAATCGACGAGTGTTCAGGGGTCAATATCAAGGATTTTGACTTGGCACGTGTTTTTTTTTTTTTTTTTACCTGACTTGAGTTAGGGAAGTGAGTGCCTTTTGTTCCAAGAATTAGTATGCAGTCTTTCCAATCCCTGCAGCGGGACTTCATGCTTATGGGACTCATTAAATTTTCTTGTATTTTAGGTACTTCAGACTACCAGGGTCCACTTATAATAAAATTTTGCACTAGGCAGCAACTGTTAATTATCCAGGTGGGTATTCCTAAGTGGCAGGTGCTAGACAACAGATGTTTTGAGATTAAGGAATATTTTCTTGGGAATTCCTGTGTGTTATTTTGTTTGAGTAGCTGCCAATCTTATCCAGGGGTGATGGGGCGACCAACGTCTCACTTGATCTCTGATAGGATACCGCATCTCAGATGGTGGAGAACTGAGTGTAGGTTCATTTGGTTCACTGATAACATCTGCCAGGTGACCAGGACAGTTGGCAGTTACGAAACAGACAGACAGAGGTGACTACTATAAAGGGGTTAGTAGTTGACGGGGTTAAACGTCGGCTGTCTGGTAGTAGATGGGGAGAGA